GGAAGGGCTGGGGTGGGAATCAGTGGGCACCAGGTTGAATGTGAGCAAAACACAGATGAGCTAAACTACTACAACAGGGAGATTGTGGCCAAGTCAAGGGAAATAATTCACCCTTAGGATCAGCAGTGGGGCAGCCACCCCGCTGGGATGCGGTGGCAGCTGATCCCTGCTGAAGCTGCTTGGGGAGCTATTGCAAGGAAACACAGTCAAGCACATCTCACTAATGCCAAATGATGTCACACGGGATGGTGGTCACAGAGTGGACCTTCAGAGATTTGGGATGGCCATTAAGAAGTGCCTCTTCAGCTGAGTGTGGTCCAGCCCTCAGACAGGCCAGCAGAGCGATGGGTGATCTCTGTCCTGGGATGGGGGGGTTCAAGGCTCAGGCAGGCAAAGCCATACACACCCTGATTTAGGGTTGGGAATATTCCTGCTGTGAGCAACGACCTGGAATGGAGATCCCTGAGGTCCTTTCCACAGTTTACTCTGTTTGGCCTTCTCTTCTTGGGGGAACAAGCCAGCTCTGCCAGGACCACATCTCTGCACAGCAGGGACCCCTGTTGCTCGCTGTGGGACTCCTGGAGTGTTGTCAGCACAGCTCTGGGCACCCTGCTCTGATCCCATCTTATTTATGGCACATCCTTCCTGTCTTCTCCCTGCTATTACTGCCTGAAATGTTGTAATTTAGATTCCGGCTGTGTTTGATTGCAAACTCTCCCAATGTACAAATTCCAGTGACAAGCACTAGAGCGGCTCATTTACATGCCAAAGTGATCAATCTGGAACCGCTTGTTACACCAGAGAATAAATAAATAACAGATACATTAAAGAATGGGTAACAATCAGCCAAATTAACCAATATATGTCGGATAATGACAAGCCCTGACATTCTCAACAGGGAACAAGAGAGGGAAGGATGGGACGAGCTTTCCCAGCATTGCCCAGGGCTGCTCAGCACTCATCTATCTCCTCTCACCCCATGAGCCTACAGGGGATGTGCATCAGTGACAGTGAGCAAGGGCTGAAGCCTGAAATCCTGCCTTTTAAACCACATACCCGCCTTTATTCCTCACACCTGCTCTCTGCAAGGATTTGTCATAGGAACAACATGTTCCCTGGGACAGCAATTAAAATATTTCAGGCGTGTGGCAGCTACATGGCGTGGCAAGCAGCCTTGCAGGCTGATTTTCACCTGACATGTCAGCAAATCCTTCCAGGGCACCGTCACTCTCCACAACCCCCTGACAGGAGGGGGGAGCCAGGTGGGGGTAGGTTCCTTCTCCCAGGTAGCAAGCGACAGGACAGAGGAAACGGTCTCAGTTCTCACCAGGGGAGGTTTAGGTTGGATACTGGGAACAGTTCCTTCACTGAAGGGGCTGCCAGGCATTGGAACAGGCTGCCCAGGGCAGTGATGGAGTCACCATCACCAGAAGAGTTCAAAGAACACGTGGATGTGGCACTCAGGGATGTGGTTTAAGGGGTGGCCCTGGCAGTGCTGAGTCAAAGGTGGAACTCCACGGTCTTGGAGGGCTTTTGCAACCCTAATAATTCCATGACTCTGTGATTCTCCTTTGGGACAGCCCAGCTCAACAGCTCCAGCATCCATCTGTGTGGTTATCCAGGCACCATTAGGCCACCAGTGGCTGCAGCAGGGTGCGTGCTTGCATCTGTCCTGACCTCCCAGTGGGTGCAGGTCTGCCCTGGGATGCTGTGACTGCCAGCAGAGGTGTGTGTGGTACCTGACAGCGCCGCTGATCTCCATCTCTGCCTCCTGCACAGTGACAGGGAGGTGCCAGCTGCCTGATTTCTCCTCCTCTGGCAGCTCCTGCCTGTCAGCTCATCACCCTGGGGATCCCCAGCAGGGAAGGAGCATCTCTCCCTGCTGTGCGCTGTCAGGCAGCTCGTGTGTGCCTGCAGGCACTGGGGACGTGTGGGGAGGCTTCACAGGGGTCACTGCTCTTCCACCAGGGGCTGCAATGCTGGCATGGCACTGACTGATCCTGCCTGTCAGCACCAGCTGGGAGGGCAGCAAGGGGTGAAGGTGCTGCCCCATGGCCCATCCTGAACCCATTCTGAAAGGAGGAGGGTTGCTCGGGGTAAAAACTCCTCCAGAGCAGAGTTGCTTGGTGTGCAGCAGAGCCAGAGGGTCACGACAGGTGCCCTAAATCATGGGGCTGCTCACCTGAGGGGTCAGGTTCCCCAAAACCGAGGGCACCATCCTCTTTGGGGATGGTTTTGTAACATCCACATCCCCTGGCTCTTCCAGGTACGCCCCACTGTCCCCTCTGCCTTGGGCTTGGCCCCAGTCCATACCCCCTGGGGGTCCCCTATGTTGACATATCCCCTTCTCTGTGATGGAGTGATGGTGCTGCTGGGACACTGCTGGATCCACCCCAACCACGAGAACCTGGCAGGGCTGCACGACCCCTCACACCCCCAACCACGGAGGTCCTTTCCCCACTGAGGAACCCCCCCCCCTTCTCCCCCTGTCTCAGGGGATTGCAAAGTGCCCCCCGCCCCTGGGAAAGGGCTTTTGTGGCCACTTGGAGGGTGGGGAGTTTATCCTGGATCTCACTCCGCACCTGGACATCCCGCAGGACACCTGCGGACACGGGGACATCCCCGGGGGGGGGTTGGGGTTGTCCCCGGCCCTGCTTTGGGGAGAGGAGCGGTGTCACCGAGCACGGCTGAGGCAGCACTGCCATCTCGTGGCTCGCCCCATCGCTGCCGTGCCCACCCTCCCCGCAGCCCCTCGGCCACCTCCCGCTCCCACAGACAGCCCGGGGGGGATCGGGAGGACGAGGGTGACGCGCTGGAGGCGTCCCTGTCAGTGCTCATCCACGGCTCCCTGCATCCCGGCACCTCTGGAAACACGGACGGCAGCTCAAGGAACAGAGGCTGGATGTCGGGAAGGAATCCTTCCCTGTGAGGGTGGGCAGGCCCTGGCACAGGTTGCCCAGAGAAGCTGTGGCTGCCCCTGGATCCCTGGAAGTGTCCCAGGCCAGGTTGGACGGGGTTTGGAGCAACCTGGGCTGGTGGAAGGTGTCCCTGCCCATGGGAACAAGATGAGTTTTAAGTTCCCTTCCAACACAAAGCAGCCTGTGATGTCCCAGCTGCCGATCCCGAGGAGGAGGAGGAGGCAGAGGATGGGAGAGGAAAGCTTGGCTTGACCACAGCGACGCTCAAAGTCACACAAGTGGGGCTAAACACTGCTCAGGAGTCTGGAGGAGGGAGCACCTGGAACAATCTTCAAGGAGATACTGGACACCCACAAGCAGCCCCTGTAATTCAGCATTTAAATGGGGTTAAAGGGACAACAAGAGACAAAGGACACGGGAGCACAGGGACCAGCCATCGATCAATCCTGGATGAAATGATGGAGTGGTCTCATTTGGGCTGTATATTAGGAAAGGGCAATGGGGCAGAAATACAATTACTGTCCAGAAGCACCGTTTGGTGGAAGGGAGGTCCTTTCAAACTCACCTGTCATCCTGCCTTGACACGGTTACAGGTCTGGTTGATAGAGGAACTCTGTTGATAAAATAAAATTGCATTTCTTCCGGGCATCTGATTGATTATGGGATGACATTTTGATTAAAAATATGTATTATATTGCATTAAGAGGGCATCTATTCAAAGAATTAAAGACCAGCTCAGTGACAGATCTCTGGTGGCAATGGTTTTGGGACTGAGTTTGGTTATTCCCTTCTTCATCTGTATTAGAAATGATGCAACACCTTCCTTGGGACTGCTGGAGGTGGCAGGTAGGGGGGAATGGGAGGGTTGCCAGCACCTTTGGGCTTCAGAGCCACCCTAATCCCAGGCCTGCTCACTGCCCTCTTTCCTTGGACATTGTCCCCTGATCGCCAGCTCCAGCCTTGGGGACCCCAATGCCTCTTTCTCATGAAGGTCAGTACAGCTGCCACAGGACACTTGAAAAGACACTCCCCGTGGATATGGATCAGAAACCCCCTCCTCATAACCCACTGTGTCCCACCAGGGTCCCTGCTGGCATCATCGTGGCACCACTCACTACTCACTCCCTGGCACGATGGGGCTTGAGCACTTGTGGCATTTTGGGGCTCATTTTTAGCAGAGCTGAAGGCTCTTTCCTTGTACTCAGTGGGATGAAATGTTGGTGTATCATGTGTCTGGTCTCATGAGGCCACACAGCTCCAGGGGTTGCCCAGATGTGGCTGGTGCAAGGCACAGCCACCCAAAGGGGACTGAGAGCAGTACCAATGCCAGACACCACCATCTTCTCCCTCTCTACTGCAGGCACAAGGTCCCCAAAGCACCGAAGAGAAGGCAGTGGGAAGGAGACCACGGGATCACAGAATATCCTGAGCTGCAGCAGAACCACAGGGACCATCACTCCAACTGCTGGCCCTGCACAGACACCCCAGCAATCCCACTCTGTGCCTGAGAGTGTTGCCCAAACACTCCTGGAGCTCTGGCAGCCTTGGGGCTGTGCCCACTGCCCTGGGGAGCCTGTTCAGTGCCAACCACCCTCTGGAGGATGAACCTTTCCCTAATATCCAGCCTAAATGCTCAAGGTCCTGCTGAGCCACACAGGCACTGACATTCCCTGCTCCATCAGATTGCAGTGCCCAGGTGGGCACCTGCAAGGCTGGTTATCAGTGGCAGACACACTCTGCTCATCACCCACACCAGGAGCCTTCAGAGGTGATCCCTGGACCCTCTGAGCATCCCTTGGCTGGCTGTGACACCCAGTGCTGTGATCACCTGTCCCCTCTTGCAGGGACAGAGCTGTGGCTTTGCCCTGGGCACCTTCCACTGTGGTGCTGCTTTGTGCCCAGGGTCCACCAGTGCCTGCTGTGGGAGCTGTGCTGCTGGGCCAGGCTGGGCACCCAGCAGTCCTGCACTCCTGCTGACCGAGCTGTTTCCAGAGTCAGGCACGGAAAGGGGAACGAGGTTCTTTCTGGTGCAGAGAAAGCGAAACTCAGCACGTCCCTTCCCAGACCACCATGCACGCAAAGACATCCTCCCACCCTGCTTCTCTTCCTCCTGGCTTCCTGGCAAGAGCTTCCAGCAAACTGAGCTGCTGCTCACTCCGGTCTGGCTTCACCCCCTGCACAGAGGTAGGTCACCCCAAAGAGCAGGGGACACGCTCCTCCTCTGCCACCACTCTCCTGACCTTGCTCTCTGTCCTCATTCTTTCTTTCTAAACTTTCCCCCTCCACAGGGGTTTAAAGCAGGAAAACGGGGGAAGATGATGCAGGGCTGGGGGGAGCTGCAAGAATCTGTCCTTGCTCTGTCTGTGTCCAAGACCTGTGTGTTTGCCTCCACCCCCAATTCCCCACCCTTGTGCCTGTAGGAGGCAGGATGCAACCCGGATTTTGGCTGGCAATCAGCACCCTGGGAGCAGTGCTGGGCACTGCCCTGCTGGAGAATGGAGTGTGTCGGGCACCAGATGGCAAGGATGGCTTCCCTGGAGTCCCTGGACGTGACGGGAGGCCAGGGCAGAAGGGTGACATGGGAGAGCCAGGTAAGGGGAAGCCTGGGATGTCCAGTGTGGGGAAGCCTGGGAACCTCTTGATAGGAGCATCCCAGGCTGTGGGAGCAGCTTGGGAGATGCTGGGTGTGCACGAACTGCTCCTCCTCACCACCTCTCCCCAGGGAAACCGGCGCCAAGGACGGGCATCCAGGGACCCAAAGGGGATGCAGGTGAGCCCGGGCTTCCTGGCATCCCAGGGAACCGCGGCCTCCCTGGTCTCCCTGGCTTCCCTGGGATGCCAGGGATGCCAGGGCTCAAGGGGGAGAAGGGGAGACCCGGCAATATCCTGGAGCAGCCGCGCCCTGCCTTCTCCGCCCTGCGGAGGTCCCCGCCGTCCCTGGGCAGGACGGTGGTGTTCGACAGCATCATCACCAACCAGGAGGACTCCTACAGCCCCCAGACGGGGGAGTTCACGTGCCGCATCCCGGGGCTCTACTACTTCGCCTACCAGGTGGTCTCCAGCGGTGACCTGTGCCTGAGCATCAACAAGAACAGGGAGCAGGTCGTCAGCTTCTGCGACAACAACAGCGCCGGCATCCTGCAGGTGAACTCGGGCAGCAGCGTCCTCAGCCTGGCCCAGGGCGACCGGGTGTTCGTGAGCACCGACCCCGCTCGGGGCAGCTCCACCTACAGCGGCTCCGAGGCAGACAGCATCTTCAGCGGCTTCATGCTCTTCCCACAGACAGGCTGAGGGGCCCCCCGGGGCACCGCGGGGTGTCTGTGTGCGTGGGTGACGCCCCTGTGGGTGTGGGATGGTTTGATGCCACAGCACACCGGGATGGCCCCAAACTGAGGGTGCAGGTGGGTCCTGTGCTTCCACCAGTGCCACAACTGGCCGGGCTGGGGGTCACCACTGCAGCAACCTCTGTGCTGAGCCTGCCCTCTCCACCCTGGAGGCGTTGGACTCTCATCCCTTTCCCTTCCTGGTCATTGATATCCCACTCTGGAGCCAGCTGTGGCTCTTTGCTCCTGAGTGGGAACTCACTGCCTGCCGCTGCTTCTGCTACACTAACCACTGTAAATGCCCTCCTGGCACTGGCACACATTCTCTCACATCCTCCCCATCAGTATAAATAAAGCCTTCTTTTACCACATCTCTGTGAGGTTTCTTTTCTACTCGTGAATCTTCCCCAAAACACGAATACCCTGGACCTCTCCCCAAGCTGTCCAGGGAGAGAGGCGATCCCAGCTTGTCCCTGTCACTGCAGAGGGAGAAGGACAGGAGGGAATGGAGTGTCAATCAGAGTGGCTGATGGGGTTGTGGGGTGGTGGTGGTGGAGCTGTGGGGGCCTTGAGGTGAGATGAGTGGGAGGTACAACAAGCTGGGCATGAATCAGGCAGCTGGGAAGCATCAGGGAGGACACACAGGTGCCATACCCTGGGTCTGCTCCTCAGGGGAGCTCCTGAACACACACTGGGGCACTCAAATGTCTCCATTCCTGGAGCTGTGAGGAAGAGGCCAGGCCACTGAGAGGGGCAACACCCTGACTAGGAGTGTTGGGGCCTCACAAAGTCCAGCACCCAGCAGAGGGAAAGGTGCAGGTCAGAAACTCTCAAGGAGAAACACCCTCCTCAGGAACAAGTGAAGTAAAGGGGAAAGCAGGTGATTTGGGGAGGGCTAGTCCCCATGGTGGCTTGGAAGGGCGGTGGCACATCCCTTGGCAGAGCTTTGCCCCACCTCTGCCCTGCCAGCCCTTCCTGTCGCAGTGGCACGAGTTGCAGGTCTTGCTGGGCAGCCAAGAAAGAGCTCACTCAGCAGAAACAGCCAGGCAGAAGGATGTGAAACTCTGCTGGGGACAGCTGGGGGTTCTGGGTCCCCAATGGCCCTTTCCTAAATCTGCAGCTTCCTCCGTGGGGGTGACAGGGAGCCACCCCCACTGCACAGTGACTGCCACGGCCAGGAACCAGCAGCACAGGGTCCTGTCCCTGCTCCCCACCAGAGGTAAGAGATGCTGCAGGGTACATGTACCTGGTGGGGGGGGCTGCAGTGTGGCCCAATGCTGTGAGGAGGATGTGGATGTGAGAAGAGGAGGAGGAGGGGAAGGAGACAAGCACTGGGTGGGACACTGAGGGCACACCCAGGGGACCCAGGAGCTCCCGGTACACCCAGCCTCCTCTTCTCCATGCCACGGCCCCTCACTCCAGCATTTCTTTCCCTTTCCATGCTACAGAACCAAAATGCAGCAGAGATTCTGGGAGCAGCTCAGTCTGGCCCTCACCCTCCTCCTCCTGAATCTGAGCTCTGCTGTGAATGGAGATGTCCCTCACAACTGCTATGGACCTCCAGGCCTGCCAGGCATGCCAGGTGTGCCAGGCAAGGATGGCAGGGATGGGCTGAAGGGAGCCAAAGGGGAGCCAGGTGAGTGAGAAACGAGGGAAACCACGGGGCTGTTGCAGGGGGAAGCATTGACTCCTCCACGCCTGGTCTGCCTTGGTTTGCAGGCTGTGGAGAGCACCCTCTGTGCTCAGGCTGGAGAGAGACAACAGCACCCTCCTGCCCAAGGGAAGGGGCTGGAGAAGAAGCCTCTCCCCACACCCTGCTATTGGCATTCACTCCCTTTCACTCCCCACCACCCCACAGGTGTCCCAGCTCCTCCTGCAGTGCAAGGGCCCAAGGGGATGAAAGGGGAACCGGGCAGCCTTGGCTTGCCAGGCAAGAACGGTCCCAGTGGCCTTCCTGGTCCTGCTGGAGACCCTGGGATGATGGGCCTGCCTGGAGAGCCGGGAATGCCGGGCAGCTACAAGCAGAAGCACCAGTCAGCCTTCTCAGTGACGAGGCAGACCAAGGAGCACCCCTTGAAGAACGTCCCCATGGTTTTCAACCACGTCATCACCAACACCAACGGCGACTACGACACCACCACCGGCAAATTCACCTGCAAGCTCCCCGGGCTCTACTACTTTGTGTTCCACACCTCACAGACAGCCAACCTCTGCACCATCCTGCACAAGAACCAGAGGAGGATGGCCAGCTTCTGTGACCACAAGACCAACGCCGTGCAGGTCAGCTCGGGGGGGGTCCTGCTCCAGCTGGCTGCCGAGGACCAGGTTTGGCTGGAAGTGAACGACTACAACGGCATGGTGGGCATCGCTGGCTCTGACAGCATCTTCTCGGGGTTCCTGCTCTTCCCAGACTAGGGGATCACCAGAGCCCACCCCAGCACCCCGACTGCTTCATCCTGCCTCATTCACTGCCAGGCTGCTGCTGATGATCCCAGTTTCTCTGCTGAGGGGAGAGCTCCAACGAGGTTGTCACCCCCAGCAGCCAGACACAACCCCTCTGTGTGGGGACTGAGCACTGGCAGCCGCTGAACAGGGACAACAGGCACACCTGGATGCATCTGGGGTCTCTCTGCCTCTCTCCCCTCCCCATCTTGGTTGCCCCAGGTTCAGCCAGGTGTCCTGGGGCTGCAGCACAGCCCCTTTGCCATGACCTGGGTGTGGAAAGTGTCAATAAATCCTTCCCCACGAGCCTGATGTAGTGTGCTGTGTCCTCCATGGGTTACCTTTCTGCAGGCAGCACCTGATGGGTATGGTGATGGATGTGTGTGTCACATCTGGACATCTGTGTGGCATCAGCAAGCCTCTGAGCCCTCGCTGTGCTCAGCATCAGTGACATCACACACCATCCACACTCCGGCCTTGCTTGGGGTGGGGTGAGGGGGCGACCCCAGGCTGCACTGCCTCCAAGAACAGGATGGTTCCTCTGCCCCCACACAGGCCCCACCAAGGGGGGGATCAAGACTCTTCCAAATAGGGCCCCTGCTCCTCCCCTTCCCATAAAAGTGGGAGCAATCCATCTGCAGATGCGCACGGACCACACAGCAAACCCCACTGACACCCCAATGAGGGTGGGACATCCCCCGGGGGTCCCAGCCCGGCTTCCCTGACCCAAACCAAAGGAGTTCATGGCTGTGGAGGCTGCAGAGCCCACCAAACTCAATGGGCACTCCTCCTGGTGGCACACACTGTGGTCACATCCCTGAACATCCCGCTCTTCACCTCCCCAAGGCAGCAGCAGAAAGCAGGCCTGGGAATGCCCTTCCCACAGGGTAAAACCGCTTCCCACACACAACATTTAGGAGGGCCTGGGGCACATGTTCAAGGTGATGGATGCCAAGACCCTGCAGCATCCCCTGGGCCTGCCAGAACCTCCCAGCACAGCCTCTGGGAGGGCCTGGGTTGCTGTTTGGGGGTGGCTTGTTCTGCTGAGCCGACAGAGAGCATCGTGGAGGATGTGAAACTGCCACGGACAAAAGGGCAGGAGCTAAAGATAAAAAAAAAGGATGTGTCCCAGATCCTTTCACAATAACTCTTGCAGCCAACTTCTGCTTCTCCTCGCAGGCATTTCCAAGCAGGACGCCGGTGTGTCCCACTCCATCTCCCCACCCAAGCAACAAGGAGCTCAAGGTAAGAGCCAGGCTGGGCCCCAGCCCCCCACACAGGCAGAAAAACATGGAGAACCTGGTCCCAGCAGAGTGACAGTCACCTGCACCCCTGGCACTTCCCTGTGGCTTGGGGCAGAAGAGAAAAGGGGTGGGGGGGGGTGCTGGGCAACGATGGTGGAGGTTCCTGGTGGGACCCCAACCCCTCCTGCTCCACCTGGGAGAGAGGAGACATGAAAGGGGAGATTGCAAAGTCCCAGAGGGGTGATCAGAGACTGGGCATCAGTCTGAAAGGTGCCCTGGGTGTGCTCTCCTGCTCTTAGGTGCTCTAATAGACCTGAGCTAGGAGCATGTAAATTCATCCTTTCACATCCAAGTTGGAGCTGCTGCGACTGGAAAATCCAACTCACCAACCTCTTGTTCTGCTAACACCAGAGCTTCAGTGCTGGGAAAGCCCACCTGAGGCCAGAGAGTGAGGTTAGGGTGCTGTGATGTCCAGATAAAGCCCCCAAACAGCAGGTGCTTATCCACAGACACCCACACCAGGACGTGGGGGAAGGAGTTGAGCTGTGGGATGCGGGGAGGGCAGAAGGAATGTGGGACTGGAAACCCAGGTGACTGTCCCAGTAATGCTGGTTAGGTACAGAAATGCCTCTGGCATGGAGCAGCCATGTGGCAGGACACAGAGGGAAGCTGCAGGGTGCAGGGGGGAGGTTTGGGCATTCATTGCCATCTTCAAGGAACAACCAGCTGTCCCTCAGACATGCTGGTGGAAGGCAAAAGCCTTCCCCTTGCAGATGATGAAACTGCCCTGGCTGGGGGAAACATCTTCCCCTGCAGGTGTTGTCCTGAGAAGGGATGGGGAACTTCTGCCCCTGAGGGAGCAGCATGGCCAGGCTGGACACCAGACCTGTGGTATAACCTGTCACAGATATTCATGTGGCTGAAGCTGTGGGCACTTGCAAACTGGGAATTTAGGATGACCAGAGGCTGACAATCTCTGCCTCATCCAAAGGGACCCTCCAAGGCCATCAGGAGAGCAGACTGGGCTCTGAAGCAGGATGTTTTCCCTCCCTGATGATATTGCCCAGATGTGCTTCCAGTCACCATCCTTCCAAACAGCACAGACTGCCCTCCCCAACCCTCCCACCACCCAGGCTAAGCCCCTCCACACCCTCCTGTGCCCCTGCAGATGTGGATCGTGTGGGTGATGCTGATCTGCCTGGCTGAAGGGCAGCTTGCCAGTGCCACACTCTGCGAGACCTACGGCACCATCCCGGGCATCCCAGGGTCACCAGGACAGCCTGGCAGCAACGGCAGAGATGGGGAGAACGGCCCAAAGGGAGAGCAAGGTAAGGAGGAGGCTGCAGGTGGGGAAGGCAATCATCCTGTGAATGCCAAGAGCAGGAGAAAGCAGAGCCAGGCACATGGTCCCAGGAAAGCAATCCATTCCTTTGAGGTGCTGTCAGGTTGGGGGTGATGCTCAGGGACAGAAAGGACTGGACAGACTGGAGCACCCTGGGGAGGGAGGGTGAACAACAGCAAGTTTTCAGTGTTTGCAATGCTATTTTTGCATTCTTTAGCTCCTGTGCAGTTTCCACTTTCAGCTTGTTGATATTAAGAGCGTTTCTCTGTAATCCACTGGCAACTACAGACAGAAGCTGCTTCAAAGCTTTAATGTCTTCTTGCACTTTAAGCATTGGTTTA